ACAACTGTGTTGTGCAGTGCCTGTGGAGGTCAGAAGAGGGTGTCAGATCTCCTGGAACTGGAGTTATGGATGGTTGTTAGCTGCCATGTGGATGCTGGGAACCAAACCCAGGTCCTCTGCAAGAGCAGCCAGTGCTCTGAACTGCTGATCTATCTCTCCAGCCCCTTATTTTTATTTTTTTATGTGTATGAGTATATTGTCTGCAAGTGTGTAAGTGCACCTGTGTCATGCAATGCCCTCGGAGGTCAGAAGAGGGCGTCAGATTCCCTGGACCTGAAGTTATGAAGGGTTGTTACCCACCATGTGGGTGCTGGGAATTGAACCAGGGTCCTTTGCAAGAGCAGCCAGTGCTGAGCCATCTCCCCAGTCCCTTATTTATTATTTTTATTTTATGTGCATGACTGTATTGATCACAGATAGGCAGGTGTACCCATGTTGTGCAGTGCCTGTGGAGGTCAGAAGAGGGTGTCAGATTCCCTGGAACTGGAGTTATAAATGGTTGTTAGCTGCCATGTGGGTGCTGACAATTGAACCCAGGTCCTCTGCAAGAACTCTTAACTGTTGAGCCATATCTCCAGCCCCTTAAAAAAGTTTTAAATATTTTTGGATTTTTATGTGTATGAGTGTTTTGCCTACATATATGTAAGTGCACCCATGCATGCAATGCCTGTGGAGGCCATAAGAGGGCATCAAATCCCCTGGAACTGGAGTTACAGATGATTGTGAGCTGCCATGTGGGTGCTGGGAACTGAACCAGGGTCTTCTGGAAGCACAGCCAGTGCTCTTACCCGCTGGGCCATCTTTACAGCCCCTGACTGCATGTTTAGTTATTTATTTTGTGTATGTGTACATGTGTGTGGGGGGAGTGTGGTGGCAATGTACTGTGACATGCATGTGGAGGTCAAAGAACAACTTGTGGAAGTCAGTTCTTTCCTTCCACCCTGCAGATCTTGGGGGCTAAGCTTAGGTCATCAGGTTTAGCAGCAAGTGCCTTTACCCACCACTGAACCATCTCACCAGAACCCCCTTCCACAAAGATTTATTTGTAGGGCCTGGTGGTTCGGGCCTGTGAGTTCAGGTCAGCTGGGGTTGCATAGTGAGACCTTGTCTCATAAAACAAAACAAAACAAAAAAAAGTATTTATTTAAATTTTCTTTTCTTTCTTTTTCTTTCTTTTTTTTTTAAAGACAGGGTCTCCCTTTAGCCCAGTTGGACTGGGACTAACTATATAAATCAGGCTGACCCCAATCTCATAGAGATCCACCTGCCCCTGCCTCCTGAGTGCTAGTATTAAAGGTGGGCGTCTCTATGCCTGGAAGATTTATTTAATTTATTGTGTGTAAGTGTCTCTGTGTGTGGATGTGCAGACCTGCGCATGTGCAGAAACTCAAAGAGGGCTTTGGGTATCCGGGAGCAGTTACGTTCATCTGTGGAACGATGGCTTGTTATGTGGGTGCTAGGATCCCAACTCCAGTCCTTGTGATTGCAGAGTGAGGGCTCAGCTGCTGAGCCATCTCTCCTGTCCTCCGTGCATCTTCCATTTCTGTCTTTCCCCCATGTCCACCTGTCTGTCTCTGAATCTGTCATTGCTTTTCTGTGATTCTTCCTCTCTGCCTCCTTCTCTTCCTTCCCTGCCTGTCTTTTCCTTGACTTCCTTCTTTCTCTTTCTGTCCCTGTCGCTGTCTCTCTGCCTTCCTGTGTCTGTCTGCTGAGTCTCTTTCTTCACTTCCCCCTCTGATGACTTCCCTCCCCACCATCTTCCTTTCCCCCCACCCCGTCTCCCTATCTTTCCTACTCCTCTTGTGGCTCCCCTTACATCCCCACCTATGTCCAGTCCCTCTTCCCTTCATCTCTCTCTCTGTCTCGCTTCCTCTCTCAGGGCCCCGCTGGCCTCCCAGGAATCCCCGGTATCGATGGAGTCCGGGGCCAACCTGGCACAGTCATCATGATGCCGGTAAGCAGGAGAGTGGGCACCTCAGCCTCGGGGAGTGGAGTCCTGACCCCAGAGTTGCCTCCCTGTGGAACTCTAACCACCGCTAGTTGCTCTTTAGTTTCAGTTTGCAAGCAGCTCATTGAAAGGACCCCCAGTCTCCTTCCAGCAGGCCCAGGCCCAGGCAGTGCTGCAACAGGCTCAGGTGAATGGGACAAAGGGTGTGTGTTAATGAGGGAGATGGAAGAAATAAAGGTTCATGAAGAGATGCTCAAGAGATGGAGGGCATCTCTCTCTTGAAGATGCTGGTCTCTAGTTTCTGTTGCTGTAATAAAATCCCTGACATTGGGATGGTTTATACAATACAGTAGGTTTGGGGCTTATGGCTGTGGAGACTAGAAAGTCTCAGAGCAGGGTGCTGCCACCTAGTGGGAGACCTCCTTGCTGCTTTGTAACATAGCACAGGACATTGCAAGGCAAGACAACAAATGTGCTGGGTTGGGCTATGTTTTTTCTTATAAAGGCACTAGTTGCCAACACGGGGGCCCCACCCTCTAAATTTCATACAATCCTAATTATCTTCTAAAATGCCCACCTCCGAATGCTATCAACGCATGGACTAAGGACCAAATTTCCAGCATGTGAATTTAGGGGAGCACACTCTAACCATAGCGGTGTCTTTGTGAAAGGTTTTGGGGGTCCCGTGGGAGATTTGATGTTTTGTTTCTATGTTTCCAGCTCTCCATGAAAGGGCCTCCTGGCCCAGTGGGGCTCACTGGACGCCCAGGCCCTGTGGTGAGTGAGGGGTCAGCACTGGGGAGAGGGATTCTCCGTGACAGGTGGCTGCAACGCTCCAACCATGTTCCCGTCTCTCCTCCCCCAAGGGCTTCCCTGGATACCCAGGTCTCAAAGGAGAATCAGGAGAAGTTGGGCCACAGGTAAGATTTGGGAGGGCATGGGGTTCCCCAAGGACACAGAAAAAATGCTGGTTGGGAAAAATAACAAAAGGAATAGAAATACTTTTGCAATTCTTTCCCCTCCCAGGGTGTTATTTGTTTATTTATTTATTATTTATTTATTTATTATTTATTTATGTGTATGAGTGTTTTGCCTTCATGAATGTAATTGTACCACATGTGCAATGCCCAGGGAGGCCAGAAGAGGGTGTTGGATGCCCTGGAACTGGAGTTACAGGTGGTTGTTAGCTGCCATGTGGGTGCTGGAAACTGAACCCAGGTCCTCTGCAAGAGCAGCCAGTGCTCTTAACCACTGCAGCAGCTCTCTAGGCCCCTCCAGGGAATGATTTAAAATAAGTCCCAGGCTGGGGCTGGGGCTGGGGTATAGCTCAGAGGGTTGAGTGCTTGTCTAGCATGTAGGAAGCCCTGGGTTCCATCCCTAGCACTGTATAAACTGGGTGTGGTGATGCATTCTTGTAATACTAGCACTTGGCAGGAGGATCAGGAGTTTAAGGTCATCTTCAGCAACAGAGTTGGGGGCCAGCCTGGACTGCATGAGATTCTACTTCAAAAATTAGCCGGGTGTGGTGGCACATGCCTTTAATCCCAGCACTGGCAGGCAGAGAAAGATGGATCTCTGTGAGTTCAAGGCCAGCCTGGTCTACATAGTGAGTTCCAGGACAGTTGGGGCTACAGGGAGACCCTGTCTCAAAAAGACCAAATAATTAAAAATTAAAAAAAATAAAATAAAATCGCCAGGCATGGTGGCACATAGGCCTTTAATGGAGGCAGAGAGGCAGGTAGAGCTCTATGACTTAGAGTTCAGCCTGGTCTATACAATGAGTTCCAGGTCAGCTGGGGCTACAGGGAGACCCTCTCTCAAAAAGACAAAAAAAAAAAAAAGTAAATAAATAAATAAATAAATAAATCCTCCTTCCTTTTTCTTTTTCCTTTCTGTCCCCCCTCCTCCAGGGTCCTCGAGGATTACAGGGTCCTCCTGGGCCCCCTGGCAGAGAAGGCAAGATGGTAATTTCTAAATTCTTTATTATTATTTTTATTTTATGTATATGAGTGTTATGCCTGCATATGTGTAAGTGCACCTGTGTTGTGCAGTGCCCATGGAGGACAGAAGAGGGTATTGGTTTCCTTGGAACCCAATGGTTGTTAGTCACCATGTGGGAACTGGGATTTGAACCTGGGTCTTCTTTAAGAGCAGCCAGTACTCTTAACCGCTGAGCCATCTCTCCAGTTCAAATTTTAGACTCTCAAATCCCATTAGCACTCAACACGAATCCTGGCTTTGTGCCTCTGGGTCTTCTGGCTTCATTACTGGTACAGGAGCATCGGAGGTGGGCAGTGGATGCTCCACCAGAGGTCCCTTGAAGGAGTCTGACCAGTCAGAGCTTCAAGGCGCAGTGAGAACAGAAGTCACGCTTGGCCTGAGATCTGAAGTGTAACCTGGAAGCAGATGAAGAAGAGTATTCTCCTAGGAGAGAGGATCTGGAAGTCCATGCCTGTCTTCCCAGCACTTGGGAGATGGAGGCTGGAGAATCAGAAGTTCAAGGTCAAACTTGGCTACATAGGGTAGAGGCGCTAGCGGCCAAGCCTGGAGATCTGAGTTCTGTTCCTGAGACACAGTGGGAGGAGAGAAACTGCAAGTCGTTCTCTCTCTCTCTCTCTCTCTCTCTCTCTCTGAATATTTATTAAAAGTCCCAGCATAGGGTTGGAGATCTGGCTCAGTAGTTAAGAGCACTGGCTGCTCATGCAGATGACTTGGGTTCAGTTCCCAGCACCCACATGACAGCTAACGACTACCTGTAACTCTAGTTCCAGGGGATCCGATGCCCTCCTCTGGGCTCCTTGGACATTGCATATAAAATAAATAAAGTTTAAAAATTCAAGCATAGAAGTGAGGAAGTAGATAAGAAGCCCCAACTCTAGTTGAGGGACTATTGGCAACCGATAACTGCTGGGAGAGGGAGAGTCAATTTCCTTTAGGGCTGTGACCCTGGGTAAGTTAACCAGGCTCCAGAGGACAGACCCACACTAAATGGCATTTAGGGACACAAATTTGACTTGATAGACCTTAAAATATTACCATATATTGTATTAATATATATTACTAAATACTTTATATTATTAGTTATTATACCAATATTATAGTTATAATTTATAATATAATGATTAACATGTATTATGTAAATTATAAAATATGTTATAGATTACATGAAAATTGGGCAGGGAGCAGAAAGGAGAGGTGAAGGTGGGGAGAGGTCTAAGTATGATGAAAATATATTGTACAAAATTTGTAAACATTCAATAAAATTTTGTTTTGTTTTGTTTTCTGTTTTTGGCTTTTTGAGACAGGGTCTCCCTGTAGCCCCAGCTGGCCTGGAACTCACTATGTAGACAAGGCTGGCTTTGAACTCACAGAGAGCTGCCTGCCTCTGCCTCCTGAGTGCTGGGACTAAAGGCGTGTGCCACCACGCCTGGTCCAATAAAAATATTTAAAAAAAAAACGCCAGGAAAGGAGTCAGTAAGTGGTAATATGCATCTTCATCACAGTATGTAGCACCACACAGTATGCCCACAGTCCTTTTGTCCATGACCTTGGGCTCATTCTCCACACAGGGTCTCTCTGGAGCAGATGGCGCTCGGGGTCTCCCAGGAGACACAGGACCTAAGGTGGGTGATAGGGCTGAGACTGGGTGGAGGTGGAGACTGTTAAGATCAAGGGTTTAAGGCTCGGCTGGTGACTCTCCCAACAGGGTGACCGGGGCTTTGATGGCCTGCCTGGGCTGCCTGGTGAGAAGGGCCAGCGGGTGAGTCTGTGAAGTGTCCTTCCTGCATGCTAGTCCTCTTTCTGATGTCCACATGCCCTCCACGTCTGAGTGTGAGGCACAGACTCATACCACCCTGTCCGTATGTGAGCCATCATGCCTTCATGCCCATTCCTTTCCAGGGTGAGGTTTCTGATTTTGCTATTCCTCTTTGATGGCCCCCCTCTTCTCCACTCCAGGGTGACTTTGGACCTGTGGGACAGCCTGGCCCTCCAGGAGAAGATGGTGAGAAGGCAAGTTGGGAGGAAACTTTGGGGATGGGGCTGATTGGGAGGTTCAAAAACCTAAATAGCAAGGGTTGAGCTTGTGACTTAGAGGTAGACCCCTGCCTAGAACCCCCCAGTGAGAGGCTGGGGGCAAGACTCAGGAGTGTGGAGATCTCAGGCTAACCCTGAGACCCCCTGGAGGGGGATACTGAATAAGGGGGGCTATCCTCCAGGGACTGTATGTCATCCACTCCAAATAATGAATGATACCTTCCCACAGGGCTTGCAGGGACCTCCAGGACCCACTGGCCAGGCTGGGGAGCCGGTAAGTATTGGGAGCCCCTTCACTTATTGCAAGGGGAGAGAGTGGGGGAAACTTCTTGGGTCCTAGAATTCACAGGACTTTAGTATAACATTGATGCTGGGATAATGTGTCTCCTTCCTTGCAGGGTCCCCGAGGTCTGATTGGCCCCCGAGGCTCCCCTGGTCCTCTGGGACGCCCGGTGAGAATCCCTCGCTGGCTTTCTGCTCGTGTGTGTGTGTGTGTGTGTGTGTGTGTGTGTGTGTGTGTGAGTGTGTGTGTGTGTGTGTGTGTGTGAGTGTGTGTGTGTGTGTGTGTGTGTGAGTGTGTGTGTGTGTGTGTGTGTGTGAGTGTGTGTGTGTGTGTGTGTGTGTGAGTGTGTGTGTGTGTGTGTGTGTGTGTGTGTGTGTGTGTGTGCGTGCGCCATGGCCCATGTGTGGAGGAGGTCAGGACAACCTGCAGGAGTCAGTTCTCTCCTTCCTCTCTGTGAGTGCATAGAATTGAACTCAGGTGGTCAGGCTTGGTGGCAAGCACCTTTATCTCTAAGCCATCTTGCTGGCTCTATTGCCTGCTGCCTGCTGACCTTCCCATCTGTCTCTTCAGAGCTCACCCACAACTCCTGACCTGTCCTGAATTTGCATCCTCTCTCCCTCCTGACAGGGTGTGACTGGAAAAGATGGTGTGCCAGGTGCCAAAGGCAATGTGGTAGGTGTCACGAAGTGATCTGTAGGCTATCTGTAGCCTTGCCCACTGTTCATTTACCGAACCCTCAACATCATGACCCTTCCAGCTTCACTGAACTCCCACTTTCTCCACAGGGTCCTCCTGGAGAACCAGGCCCCCCAGGACAGCAGGGAACCTATGGCTCCCAGGTTTGAACCCTCTCTCCCAAAAATGGGGGTGCTGGGTGGGCCAAGTTCATAGTCCTCCCCCACCCCAATTTTGCTACTCACTATTCCCTTCTCACACCTCCCCACCCTCTTTTATGCCCCTAGGGAATTCCAGGCCCCCAGGGGCCCATCGGTGTTCCTGGGGAGAAGGTGAGCCACCTTCCTCATGTTGTCAGAAGTTGGTGATGAGTCTTTACGTCAGGATCCAGCCCAAATGACAGAGGGGCATTGTTGGGGGAGGGCTCCCAGAGAACCCTGCCACAGCTGGCAGACAGAGGGGGTGTTGTCAGGACAGAGAGGCACAAAAGCCCCTCACAGAAGGAACTACAGAAGCACAGAAACCCCTTACAGAAGGGACTGTCAAGACACGGGCAGAACAGTTGCTTCCCAGGAACCAGGGCATCTAAATTTGTCCCTCTGTACATCTGCATCTGACTTCCTCAGCAGAACACACTTTTGTGTATATGTGTGGTGCACTTGTGTACTTGTGCATACGTTTGTGTGTGTGGTGTTTATGCGTGTAGTGTGTTTGTGTGTATGGTGTAGCTGTGTGTGTGTGGAGTGTTTTTGAGTATGTTGTGGGTTTATGTGTTTGTGTCAGTTTGTGGTTTCATGATATGCACATATATATGTGTGGAGGCCGGAGGCTGACATCTGGCATTTTCCTCAGTGACTTTCCACCTCATTTTTGGAGGCAGGCTCTCTGCCAAAGTCTGAAGCTCACCAATTCTAGACTAAGTGGCCAGTGAGCCCAATGATTTACCTGTCTCCAGCTGCCTAGTTCTGAGGTTATAGGTGTACACTAGTTTTTTTTTTTTTTTTGAGACAGGGTCTCCCTGTGACCCCAGCTGGCCTTGCACTCACAGAGATCTGCCTGCCTCTGCCTCCCAACCACTGGTTGATTAAAGGCGTGTGCCACCACACCTGGCAGTATACACTACTGTGTGTAGCATTTTTGGAAATGGAGACTCACTTTACCCACGGAGTCATCTCCCTCCATTTTTTTTTTCAGACAAGGTCTTACTAGACCTAGAATTAAGGCAGACCTCCTGCCTCCAACTCCCAAATGCTGTTTTCACAGGCACCCGCCAGCACGCCAGCCTTGCATTGCTATTTCTGACTCCACACTCCTTGTTCTTAGATCTACAATCTTTACCCAAAACCATCCAATCACCCCTGTTCCCCTATCTCCTGTTCTAAATTCCTGGAAGGAGGTGTCTGGCTCAGCTGGCCCAAGGTGTCTGCCTTTGACCCTATCGAATGTTTTCAAGATGTGGTCACATCTGACTAAGCAGATGGTGGGATGTTCTTTTTTTTTTAATTCATTTATTTTTATTTTATGTGTATGAGTGCTATGCGTCCATGTGTATAACTGTACCCATGTTGTGTGGTGCCCATGGAGGACAGAAGAGGGCATTGGATCCTCTGGAACTGAAGTTATGGACAGTTGTTACCCACCATGTGGGTAATGGGATTTGAACCTGGGTGCTCTTAATCATTGAGCCATCTTTCCTGTCCCATCTCACATTGTTTTTACATCTCTTCTCTCAACACTCCCAGGAAAGGAGGATTTCTGAAGCTCAGAGACAGCAAACTGATTTCCCAGGGTCAACCAGCAAATGTGGGCATAGGTGGGCTAGAAGCCAGAGATACAGGCTTCCTCTCTGAGATGTCTGGGTCAAGCGGACACGTCTGACCTCCAGGGGACTCTGTCTACTCTTTCTCTTCCTCTTCTTTCAGGGTCCCCCTGGAAATTCCGGGATTCCAGGTATCCCAGGAGATGAAGGCCCTCCGGTGAGAACTAGGAGCTGGAATGAGGAGAGGGGCAGGCTTGGGAATTTGGATGGCAAATTGTGGCCTCCAATGAATTAATGATTTTTCTCCCTCAGGGTCACCCAGGCCATGAGGGTCCCATGGGAGAAAAAGGGGCTCAGGTGCGTGACCAGGAGGGCAGCTGGGCTGGAGAGGCAGGTTGATAAATGAGGCCAGGGAGGAGAGACGGGGGACACTGGGAACATAGAGGAGGGGGAATGGAGGGGGATGGGATGGCATTGAACTTGTCTTCCCCTCAGGGTCCACCAGGGTCCGCAGGCCCTCCAGGCTATCCTGGACCTCGGGGTGTGAAGGTAGGTGACACTTGGGGTCTGGAAGATTAGCTCTGGCTTCAGAAAACCAGCTCGGTGTCAGGCGTGGTGGTGCACACCTGTGGTGCCAGTTTTTGGGAGGCAGAGGTAAGAGGACTGATATGAGTTTGAGGCCAGGCAGGGCCACATAGTGAGTTCAGGCTGGCCAGGGCTACACAGTGAGTTCCCGTACAGCCAGGGCCACATTGTTAAGTCCAAGGCCAGCTAGGTTTGGATGCTATAGATTGAGACCCTGTCTCATAAACCAGAAGCTAAAACATAAAACAAAACAAAACCAAAAAAACCCTCTAATCCCAGCACTTGGGAGGTTTAGGGAGGAAGATCAGGAGTTCTAGGCGAGCCTTGGGTGCATAACAAGTTTCGGGCCAACCTGGGCTATGTAGAGAGATCCTGTCTCAAAATAAAACAGTAAAAAGAAGGCTGAGTCTGTACCTGAGCAGAGTGCTTGCCTACCATGCGTGAAGCCCTACATCTCATCCCCAGCACTGTATAAATCCTGCATTGTGGTGCACACCTGTGATCTGCTCACTCAGGAGGCAGAGGGCCAGGAGTTCAAGGTCGTCCGTGGCTATATAGTGAGTTTGAAGTCAGGCTGGGCTACATGAGACTCTGTCTCAAAAAATCAAAAACAGCTGGGCATGGTGGCACAGACTTTTAATCCCAGCACTCGAGAGGCAAAGGCAGATGAATCTCTGTGAGATGGAGACCAGCTTGGTCTATATAGTGAGGTCTAGGCCAGCTGGGGCTACAAGGAGACCCTGTCTCTAAAACCAAACCAAACCAAACCAAACCCCCAAACAAAGAAACAGTATACTAATGGTTCTATTTTATTGTTAGTTATTTCTTTGCTTAATTTAGAAATTGGATTGTAGCATAGTTATGTGTATAGAAGAAACAATGCAGTCTGAAGAGACTTAAATCTTATCTGGTTCCAGGTAACCCCTGGGGATCAGGTAGATTACTCCCTGAAGATAAGGGGGGACTGTGGTTCAAGCCCGTGTTGAAACTGGAAGCTGAGGCAGAGGACAGTCCCAGCCTGGATTAGTTACATGTGATGTGGTCCAGTGAAGTACTCCAGGGCTGGGAGACAGTCCTGGCTTCCAAATATATAGTTGCTATGGGAGTTCATTCTAGCAAGTTCCATCCCAGCCAAGTGTAGTTTCTCAGTGTGATTCGAGCAGGAAGTCTGGAGTTTGCATGGTTTGCACGGGATGGTCTTGCTGTCATCAGCACAGAGTCTCCTTGTGGCCAGCACAATGGGGAAACATTCCTCTGCCTTTGGAATGAAGCTGGAGTCTGGAATGTTCTTTCTCCTGCCAGAGGGATCTGTGGACACTGTGTGCCCAGGAAGTGGAAATGAATGAATGGAAATTTGGCCTGCTCACCCTCATGCACATGAATTTGGGGGCGGGGGCGGGGTGGCTGCCAGGGATGTGGGGGAGGGGAGTGGGAGGAAGGGCCCTGAGGAGCTGTGGGAGACGGGACAGCTTCCTCCTACCCGGCACACTGGTCAAGCATCCTTTTACAACTGTTCTAGTAGCTTTGGTCAAAGAGGGAGTCTAGATCTTTTCTCAAGCAGAAATGAACAATGAGAGCCTTTTTTCTTTTTTAAAGGGTACCTCTGGCATCCGAGGCTTCCAAGGAGAGAAGGGAGAGAGGGTAAGAAGGAAGAGGGTTCATTGAAGGGGAGGGAGGGAGACAAACCCCTATAAAGGGGTCCCTGGCTGTGCTCTTTTCCTAAGGCCCTGACTTCTTTTTTAAAAAATTTACTTTTGTGCTGGGTGTGGTGGTGCATGCCTTTAATCCCAGCACTTGGGAGGCAGAGGCAGGTGGATCTTTGTGAGTTCGAGGCCAGCCTGGTCTACATAGTGAGTTCCAGGACAGCTGGGGCTACAGGGAGACCCTGTCTCAAAAAGACCAAAAAAAATTTTATTTTTGTTTTATGTGTATGAGTGTTTAGCCTGCATGTACATAAGTGCACCACATACATGTAATGTCCTTGGAGGCCAGAGGAGGGCGTTGGATCCCCCGGAACTGTAGTTATGGATGGCTGTTAGTTGCCATGTGGACTGAACTCAGGTCCTCTGCAAGTACAGCCAGTTCTCTCTCTCTCTCTCCCTCCTTCCCTCCCTCCTTCCCTCCCTCCCTCTTTTCTCTTAGGGAGAGGATGGCTTCCCTGGTTTCAAGGGTGATGCAGGACCCAAAGGTGACCAGGTAAGATGAGCTCCAGATGAGGGACTTGGGTGGGGCTTGAGGAGGACAGAGGGGGATGAGCTGGGGCTAAGACAGAGGACGGAGCAAGCAGGAAGGACGGAGAACTAGTTTCAACCCCACTCTTTTTTATTTCAGGGACCCCCAGGACCCCCAGGTGCCAGAGGAGAAGATGGTCCAGAGGGACCAAAGGGGCCGGAGGGACTGGCTGGGGAGGAGGGTGCCCCAGGAGCCGTGGGAGAGAAGGTGACTGCACAGGGCTCATCTGCTTTGTTCGCTGCCCTTCTCTGCTACTTTTTAAATTTTTTCGTCTTTTTTTAATCTGGTGACAGGAGCCAGAGCTTCTCACATGTTAGGAAAGAGCTCCACTAGGCCCTCAGCCCCTCACTGGGGGACTCTAGGTGGGGGCTCTACCCCTGTGCTACACCCCAGCCCTCACTGGAGAATTCTAGGCACTCCCCTGTCATAATTTCTTTGCTGAGCATTCCAGAGCCATTACCTGTATATTCCTTTATTTTACTCAGCAAAGCTGCTTCATGTAATAGCCATTGTCCCCATCTTACAGATATGAACTGGTTTGCAATGGTCCAACGAGCTCCCCACACGCAGTCCATAGTAATGACCAGTTCTCCCTGGCTCTTGCCCTGCTGCCTCACACCTGTACCCTCTGTTGCAGTGTCTGACCTTTGTCCTACAACCTTCTTTCTACAGGGCAAGCTTGGGGTGCCAGGTCTCCCAGGTTACCCAGGACGCCCAGGACCTAAGGTAAGAGCAACTCCAGATGGGCAGGGACAGGGGACCCTGACTGGTACCCAGGGGCCAAAACTGTGGCCTGAGGGGTGAGCTGCCCACCCCATGGGTCATTGAGAGAGTGTAGATAGAGCCTGACATCATGGACTTGGGCTCAGAACGTCACTGCTAAACAGCTTCGTGAACTCTGGTGGGTCTCTTGAGCCCATTTTCCCAGCTGCAGAGTGGAGATACCATTAATATCTGCCTTGTTTGTTTGATGATGATGATGATGGTGATGATATTGATGAATATAATGATGGTGGTGATGGAGATGATGATGGTGGTAGTGATGATACTGATGATAGTGGTGGTGGTGATGATGATGGTGATATTATTGATGATGGCGGTGGTGGTGATGATGATGGTGATATTATTGATGATGATGGTGGTGGTGATGATATTGATGATGATAGTGGTGGTAATAGTGATGATATTGATGATGGTGATGTTTTCGATAATGATCCTGCTGCTGATCAAACTTTACAGTCCTCATTTGGTCTGGTTGTTTGGTCCATGAGCTAGAGGGACTGTTTTCTGTCACTATAACAATTTCTGTCACTATTTGAGGCTAGATACTTTATAAAGCAAAGAGGTTTTGGTTAGATCACATGTTTGAAGCCTGAAAACCCAAAATCAGGTCTGTTGAACCCATGTGGGGAGGTCTCCCTCCTGGCTATGTCTTTATCAGAGATGGAGACAGCCACACTTACTCCTTTTTAAAAATGCTTTTTTATTTTTAGAGTTTATTTTTAGTTTATATGTATGAGTCCTTTGCCTGCATGTATATAAGTACATCACATTTGTGTAATGCCCATGGAAGCCAGAAGAGGGCTTTGGATCTCCTGGAACTGGAGTTATGGGTGGTTGTCAGCTGCCTTGTGGGTGCTGGGAACTGAAACTTGGGTCTTCTGCAAGAGCAGCCAGTGCTCTTAACTACTGAGCCGTCTCCGCGCCGCCCCCGCTTAATAACAGCCCTCTGTGGACTGTGGAGATGGTTCTTTTTGGTAGACTGTTTGCCACACAAGCTTGAAGACCTGAGTTTGGATCCCAGCACCCAGGTGTGGTAGCACACATCTGTAACCCCAGCACTGGTGAGCTAGAGGGTGGAGGCTCACTGGGGTTCACTGGTCAGCCAGCCTAACCAATTGGCAAGCTCCAGGTTTAGTGAGAGACCTTGTCTGGAAAACTAAGGAGTGGGAAATAATGCCTACTGTCTAAGCATGAGGATCTGAGTTCAAATTCCCAGCACCCACATAAAAAGGCAGGAATTGCGGGGCTGGAGAGATGGGTCAGCAGTTAAAAGCCCTTTCTGCTTTTGCAGAGGACCTGAGTTTTGTTCCCAGCACCCACATCAGGTAGCTCACAACCACCTGTAACTTTAGTTCCAGGGGATCCAATGACCTCTTCTGACCTCTGAGGGTATCTGCACACACATATAGAATACACACACATGCATACGCACATGCGCATACATTAAGAATAAAAGAGCACCAGGCATGTTGGCGCATGACTTTAATCCCAGCACTCAGGGGGCAGAGGCAGGTGGAGCTTTTTGAGTTCTAGGCCAGCCTGGTCTACATAGTGAGTTCCAGGCCAGTTAGGGCTACAGGGAAACCTTGTCTCAAAAAGACAAAAAAAAAAAAAAAAAAAAAAAAAAAAGGAAAAAAGGAAAGAAGAAGAAAGAAAAAAAAAAAGAAAGAGAAACTTTTTAAAAAAAAAAAAAAAAAAAAAAAAAAAAAAGAAAGAAAGAAAGGAAGGAAGAAGAAAGAAAGAAAGAATGAAAGAGCAACTTTTTAAAGAAAAAAACCAGGTGTGGCCTCTTGTGTGACTAACCCCAGTGCTGTGGGGCAGAGGTGGGAGGACCGCTGTGATTTGCTGGCTAACGGCCTAGCTCAAGGTTCAGTGAGAGAGCCTGTCCCAAGGGAATAAAGCAGAGTGAGATAGAGCAAGACACCTGACTCCTCCTCTGGCCTCTGTACATGAAAGTGCACACAGACACAATAAAGTGGGGTGCAATTGAGGAGGACACCCAACATTGCCTTTTGGCTTCCACGTGTGTGCACACACAAACGTGCATTCATCAAACAGAAACCCTCTTGGGGTGGGTGAGATGGCTCAGTGGGTAAAGGAGCTTGCCTTCAAGCCTGACACCCTGAATTCCATCCATGGAACCCACATGATGGAAGGACAGAACTGACTGCAAGTTGTCCTCCGATTTCCATACACATGCCACAATCATACATGTGTCCACACATGTACACGTGCACAAAATAAACAAAATACGAGAAATTTTCAAACCTTTCCTGTTAGTCCTTATAACATGAGACCTCCCACCAGACTCTACTTCTTAAATGACCCCCCCATACTGTCAGGCCAAGGACCAAACTACCATCACACAGACCCTCCAGGGGGCAAATTACACTGAAATCAAAACTTGGAAACATAAAGATTCAGATCTTCCAAATCTTGAATTCATTATAAGCTAACAGTGTACAGACACAGACATGTACTTACATAGAAACACACATTTGCTAACTCGTGTTTTGATGGATGAGAGTACGGCTGAGATCTTTGTCTCTGAACTATACTTAGCTCAGTTGGTGACTTATCATATCTGTATATCAAAGTCACTCAGGAACTTATAAAGGTACTTGTGATTAAAGCTGAATGCAGAATATTTTTTAAAATTGTATTAATTTATGAATAGCATCGTGTGTGTGCACGTACATGTCATGGTGTGTATGTGGAGGTCAGTGAACAACTTGTGGGAATCAGTTCTCTCCTTCCACCATATGGTCCTGGGGATCAAACTCAGGTCATCAGGTTTGGCAGCAAGGTCCGTTACCCACTGAGCCCTCTTGCCTGCCCCAGAATCTTCCCAAGTTCCATTTTTGCTTTCTTGAGCTGATGCAGTTGTCTTACCTACACTTCATGTGAGAGTAACTTTTGGAGAGAGAGAGAGAGAGAGAGAGAGAGAGAGAGAGAGATACACACACAAACACACACACAAAAATTTAATATATATATATATAGAGAGAGAGAGAGAGAGAGAGAGAGAGAGAGAGAGAGCCAGTCTCCTTCAAGGACACCCCCCCAATAACCTAAAGGCACTCCTCAAGTTCCCACTTTCTTTGTGTTTGTTTTTTCTTGTTTGAGGGGGGGTATACAAGTGTACAAATATTTGTGTTTTGGCACACGTGTGTGCAGGTGTGTACTGAGGTCAGAGGTTGAAGTTGGGAGTTTTCCTGGATTGTTTTCCACATTGTAAACTGAGGCAGGGTTTCCCACCTGAACCCAGAGATCGCCAACTTCAGTCGTGCAGCTTGGCAGCTTGCTTCTCCAGGATCCCCCATCTCTTCCCCAAGTGGTAGAATGCCGGGTGAGCTGCCATGCCCACCAGCATCTGTGTGGATCCTGGGGACCTAAACTACAGTCTTCAAGCTTGTGTGCCAAATGTTTTATCTGCTGAGCCACCTTCTCAGAACCTGCTGTTTTCTGTTGAGACAAGGTCTCATGTAGCCCAGGCTGGCCTCAAACTTGGTGTGTCGCAGAGGATGGCCTTGAACGCCTGATCCTCCCACCTCTACCTCCCAAGTGCTGAGATAACAGGTGTTTGCCACTATACTTTATTTATACAGTGTTGGAGGTGGAGCCCAGGGCTTCATGCCTGTGAGGCAAGTGCTCCACCCACTGAGCCCCATCCTGGGCTTTGCCACTTTAAAGTCCATAGTACTCCTTGGGAAACATACTTTTACCAGGCAAACACATAGGGGACACACACCCAAATCATAGCAAGCAGCTCACACCTTTTGAGCACTTTTTTTGTTTGTTTTTATGAGACAGGGTCTCCCTGTAGCCACAGCTAGTCTAGAAGTCACTACATAGACCAAGATGGCCTCAGTCTCACAGAGATCCACCTGACTCCAGCACTCGAATAAAAGGTGTATGCCATTATGCCTGGCTGAGCACATTTTCTGTGCTGATTGCCAAATTGCCATCAGACTTTGTGAGGAAGGGGATGTCAGGGTGTACAGATATTGAATAAGTCAGCAATCCACTGTGGCCATTTCAACCCAAGTGTTTTGGGGAAACAGAACAGGAGCTGATTCTCCCTGCACACACCTGTATTTCCAGTACTCAGGAGACTGAGGCAGGAGAATCTTGTGTTCAAGGCCAGCCTGGGCTGCCAACCAAGACCCAACTTAGAAACAAATTATTTTTTAATTTATTTATTTAATTTCATGTGTTATGAGTGTTGTGTCTGCATGTATGTAAGTGCTTCCATGTTGTGTAATCCCTTGGGGGCGGGGCCAAAGAGGACATTGGATGTCCTGAAACTGGAGTCACAGATGTTTGTTAGCCACCATGTGGGTGCTGGGAACCAAACCTGAGTCCTCAGCAAGAGCAGCCAGTGCCAGTGCTCCTAACCGCTGAACCAGCTCTCTAACCCTAGGAAAAACATTTTGATATTCTATTTTGTCTTATTTATTTTGTCTTTGGAAAAGGTGTGGGCAAGTGATGGCAGAAGGGGCCTGAGTGACACCTACATGATGAGGCTTTGGGGCTGGTGAGATGGCTCCGTGGGGCTGGGGAAGATAGCTTGCTGGGCAAGCAAGAGGACCTGAGTTCGAATCTTCCTCACCCATGGAAAAAGCCAGTTGAGGTCACTTACATACCTGTGACCCAGCATTGTAGGGAGGCAGAGACAGGAGGATATCTGGGGCCTGTTGGCCAACAACCTGGCTTCAGGTTCAGTGGGGGGCTGTGTGAGGGAGAAAGGTGGAAAACGACAGAGCAGGACACCTGACATCCTCCTGTGGTTTCTGTAAGCGTGCGTGCTGTGACACTATTCCTAGATGTCTACTCACCCCAGATCAAGAACCAACCACAGACCAAAGTAAGGATGCCACCAGACTCTAACTTAGTGAACCAGTGAGTTTTATTGGGGTTGCTTGAGGGAGCAGAAATGACTCAAAGACAGCTGCATCACCAAAGCCACCCCAGCATGATGACAGCTCGGGAAAGCAGGACACCTGGGATGCAATGCACGGCCTGCAGCCCAACAGGTTGTCAAATGTCTTTTCTAGGCAGCTCAGCTGGCATCTCTCAGCAGTCCTCACTGCTTATATGTGCTTGGAAGGGATGTACCTAGTGGACCTGGTCAGTTTCAGGGACTTCCTGAAGCTACTGAGTTGTTCACTTCCTGTTTAATGAGCTTCTCTGCAGGATCCCTCCTCTTTCACCTCCCCTTTAACATCCTGCTTTAACAACTAGCTTCTACCAAGATGGGATGCCTCACCTGGGGAAGTTACTACCCTACAGTGCACCTGCACACATGCCCATGCAACACACACACACACACACACACACACACACAGACACACAGACACACACACACAGAGCAATGCACTCACATAACAGTGAGACTGCACACATGTGCATGCATCGCACACTACACACACTATACTACACTGTGCCTGCACATGTGTGCACACATGATGCACACACGACCTAACAATGCACCTGAACACATGCACACACACCCACTACACACACTATACACACATGCTACACACACTACATAACAGTGTGCTTGCACATGGGTGCACACACACACATACACACTACACACACTACACAACAATGTGCCTGCACATGTGTGCACACACAGCACACACACATTGTACAACAGTGTGCCTGCACACATTCATACAAACACATCACACACACAGCACACACACACACACACACACACACACACACACACACAGAGGCACACACTTGCTCATCTGAACTTACAGCAGTGGTGACAGCATGCACAAGACCCATGCAAACTCAACCAGACAAAAACCCAGCGCAGAACTGGGGAAATGCACAGCAGGCCCCAACCTTAACTGAGGAACTATTGGAACTATTGGCAGCTGGTTACTGCTGTGTGAGGCAGAGTTTATCTTCTTTAAGGGAGAAACTCTAGATAGGCTGACTAGACTCCAGTGGATGAACTTGCATCGAGGAACATCTGAGTACACAAACTTGACTCAACAGCCTTAACATATATGACAGAATGCATGAAATCCAGTGGGAGGTGTAGGGGGGTGTGGAGGTCTAAATATGATTAAGATGTATTGTATGAAATATAAAAATTCAATAAAAATATACATTGAAAAAATAAATGGGGGCTGGAGATCTGGTTCAGCCATTAAGAGCACTGACTGCTCTTGTAGCAGACCCAGGTTTGGCTTTCAGCACCCACAGGGTGGCTAACAACCATCTGTAACTCTAGTTTCAGGGGATCCAGTATCTTCTTCTGGCCTCCACAGGCATTGCATGTACATGGCATACTTACATATGTGCAGGCAAAACACTCATACACATAAATTAAAATATATAAATGATGAGTGACTGATGGCTTTTTGTAGCCCTCAGAGAGAAGCATTGGAAGTGATGGGAAGGACTAGTGCAAAGGCCCTGGGGCAAGAACATGCCTGTGTACCCAGTAATATGGAGGAGGGCAGTGTGTTTGCTAGGGGTGAGAAGTGGAGGGTGAGGGGAAGATAGGAGGGCAGAGGGCTGCTCCAAATAAGGCTAGGGCTACAGGCAACCTGAGGAAGCCACTAGAATCAGTGGCCTGGGGAACCCTTAAAGGATGGAGCCTGGGGCCAACTCTGCCTACCACACCATCTCATGACTGATTCTCTCTGTTCAGGGATCTACTGGATTTCCTGGGCCCCTGGGACCTCTTGGAGAGAAGGGCAGAAGGGTGAGTTGAAATTCAAGGGATGGGGATAGGGAAGGTCTGGGTGGAGGGGAACAGTACCTGCTTGTGTGTGCTGGGAGATGGTGCTGGGTGGGTATGTCTGTACATGCTAGGGCAGATCTTCCTCTGCCACTTAGCACAATCAAGACAATCCCTCCAAAACATGTCCACAGGCCAATCTGATCTAGACAACCCTCACTGCGTCTCTCACTGGATGATTCTAGATTGGGGTCTGGAGAGATCACTCAGTAGTTAAGAGCACTGGATGCTCCTTCAGAGGCCCCGAGATTGGTTCCCAGCACCCACATGACAACTCACAACTGTCTATAACTACAGTCCAGGGGATCCAATGCCCTCTTCTAGCCTCTGTAAGCATTGTACAACGTGGGTGCACTTACATACATGCAGGAAAGAACATTCATACATATAAAATAAAGATAAACTAGGTGTGGTGGTGCAGGCATTTAATAGCAGCACTCAGGAGGCAGAGGCAGGCAGGTCTCTGTGAGATCAAGGCCAGTCTGGTCTACATAGTGAATTCCAGGCCAATTGTGGCTACAGGGTTACCCTGTCTCAAAAAGACCAAAATAAATAAATAAATAAATAAATAAATAAATAAATAAAAATATTATGTCCCCACCATCTTTCCAACTCCCAACACTTTAAAAATCCAAAGCTGGGGGCTGGAGAGATGGCTCAGCAGTTAAGAACACTGGTTGTTCTTGCAGAATACCCAAGTTCAAATCCCAGCACCCACATGACAGCTAATGCAGGCAGTACACTCATACACATAAAATAAAAATAATAAATAAAATATTTTAAAAAGTCCAAAGCCGTTTAACAGTGACTCCCTTGGAAATAAAACAAAGCAAAACAAAAAACAAATTACACACTTCCAACACACAACGGCACAGAATACACATTCCCATTCCAAAACAGAGGAATGGGGGTGAGGGGGAGGCTAGTGAGGAAATACCACAACAAAGTAAAACCCCAAAGGGTAAACACCAAGTCCTATGGCACCATCTGCTGCCTGGGCTTCAGTTCCAAAGGGCTCTGCTGGCTCAGCCCTTCCAGTTTGCTGCTTCAACATGTACCGTCCCCCTTGGGCGGGTTCTGCTCTGTGTATGGCTTTCCTTAGCAGATATCCCTGTATGCATGCATCTCCACACAGTGCAGTGTGCGTGCTGGTGGCCATCTCCGCTGCTACCATGCATGGACCTGTGCACATGGATGTTCATGTGTGTCTCATGTAGCACTCATGAAAATTGGGTAGGGTCTACACAAGTGTATGTCATGTGACCATGTGCATACATGTGTATGCCAGGGTGTGCCTTTGCACACAGGTGTGTGTATGCACACCCAGTACAGAAGCATGAGTGAATTGTCATGCTGTGTGTGCCATAATTGGGGAGACAGACATTGTACATACAACATACATGTGTGTGTACTGGGATGACATTCTTACAGGGATCCACACATGTGTACTTACCCAGGTGCACACAGCATGAGTCTCGAATTGCATGATGTGGCTGGTGTCTCCCTCTGGCTGCACATCAGCAGTCTCATGTCGCCCTGGCATGTGGCCCCGGCAGTTGTGTGTCTGCAAGCAAACAAACATCACAGCTACGTTCAGAATAGCGACTGGGTGTTGCAGAATCGTGATTGTGAATGTGTGTGAGAGAGGCTTGGGAATACTAAAGCAGCCGGTGTGCCTGTGGGTCTGCCTGCAACACACATGCACCGCCACACGTGTGCACCGCCACACTCGTGCACCGCCACACACGTGCACTGCAACTCGTTTCCCTTGTTCCTTTTTTGCTTTCCAGGGCAAAGCAGGGCAGCCGGGGGAAGAAGGAGAGCGGGGAACACCAGTAAGAAAATGAGGGGTACTCTCCATACTGTGGAGCAGGGCTGGGAGAGGGGATGGGCAGTGAGTGGGGTTCTGGAGTGAGGGGACCCAGTGAGCCATCCTCCCCAGGGTTGCCCTCTCACTTGAGTTTTGTCTTTGTTTGTTTGTTTGTTTGTTTGTTTTTTGTTTTGTGTAGGGCACCCGTGGAGACAGAGGACAGCCAGGGGCCACAGGCCAACCTGGCCCTAAGGTATGGGGTGTATGGGTGACCAATGTCCCCCTCACCTGCCTCAGGCTTACTAGGTCCAGTTCCCTTTCCAGCCCCTCCCAGGCAAGTTTGTTCAGGGCTTGAAACTCATTCATTCTGTCCTAGGGTGATGTGGGCCAGGACGGGTCTCCTGGGGTCCCTGGAGAAAAGGTGAGTGTGTGTGTGCATGTGTGAGATTTGTTTGATTTTTTTTTTTTTTTTTGAGACAGGGTCTCCCTGTAGCCCCAGCTGGCATGGAACTCATTATGTAGACCAGGCTGGTCTTAGAGATCTACCTGCTTCTGCCTGACAGCTGGGATTAAAGGGGTGTGTCACCAGGCTTGGCTTGTGTGTGTGTGTGTGTATGTGTGTGGTGTGGTGTGTGTTTGAGCAGGGGACAAGCTCAGCAAGTGGGAAGACATTACATACAATGCAGGAGAAAAAACTCAGCCTCTTGGGCTAGAGAGCTGTAAATCTGTGCTCTGCCACTTGTCAGCTATGTGACCTTGGGCAACTTATTCAACCTCTCTGTGCTTCAAATTGCTCTTTTGTAAAATGGGGATAAACAGGATTCCCACCTCAATAGGCTGCAGTGGTGAATGAGATGACTTATCATGGATGAGCATTCAGCACTAGGCCTGGCATGCAGTAGGCGCTCAATATGTACTGTTTTTTGTTTTGTTTTGTTTTTTTACTTTTACTTATTGTCTGGGGGTGGGGGCACACATGTGGAAGTCAGGAGGACTTGCAGAACTTGCAGGAGTCGGTTCTCTCTTTCTACCATGTGAGAATGAACTCAGGTCATCAGGCTTGATGGCAAGCTCCTTTACCCACTAAACCATCTTGCCCGCCAGTACTGGCTTTTAATAATGTTTTTTGTGAGGCTTATTTGGGGGGCACCCAGGAGGGATGAGGTAATCACTTCCGGCTTCATTTCAGGGTCTCCCTGGTCTGCAAGGGCCCCCAGGATTCCCTGGACCAAAGGGCCCCCCAGTGAGTAATGTCACCTTAATTGAGAGTCAGGGGGAGGGGTGGCTGCTGGTCTGAATCCTCACTCTCATTTCTCATCCTCCCAGGGTCCCCAGGGAAAAGATGGGATACCTGGACACCCTGGGCAAAGAGGGGAATTGGTAAGTGACCTTTGACCTCTGACTCCACCCCACAACCCTGGGATTACATACACAAAAGCTGTGCCCCGCTTTTAACATGGGTGCTGGGGATTTGAATTTAGGTCCTCTTGCTTGCACAGCAAGCTCTCTTACTCACCAAGTCATTTCCCTTCCTCCCACCTTGTTTATTTTTAAGATCTATTTATTTTTATTTCATGTATGTGAGTGTTTCCCTACATGTATACAAATGTACTGTGTGCATACAGTGCCTGGGAGACCAAAAGAAGGAATGGATCCCCTGAAACTGGAGTTAGGGATGGTTGTTAGCTGCCATGTGGGTGCTGGGAACTGAACCCTGGTCCTCTGCAAGCGCAGGCAGTGCTCTTAATCACCGAGCCAGCTCTCCAGCCCCCATCATGTTTTTCCAGACAGGATCTCTTGCTGATTTTGCCAAACTGGCCAGTGAGCCCCAGGGATCCTTCTGTCTCTGCCTCCCCAGGGCTGGGATTACAGGCACATGCTGACCCACCAGGATTTTTAACGTGGGTGCTGGAGATCCAAACTCAGGTCCTCAAGCTTGCACAGCAAGCACTTTACCCACTAAGTCGCCTCCTCAGCTCCTCAGGCTCCCCTTAATGACACCCTCTTTTTTTTTCCTCCCTAGGGCTTCCAAGGTCAGACAGGCCCACCTGGACCAGCTGGTGTGTTGGGTCCCCAGGTCAGAGTGGATCCCACAAGCTTCCCCTTTTTTAACCACCTGGGGGATACAGTGGGGAGCTGGAGGTCTGATGGACCTCCCCCCAACCAGGTTGCTCAATATACACCTGTTTCCTTCCAGGGAAAGGTAGGAGATGTGGGGCCTCTGGGCGAGAGGGGCCCCCCGGGTCCCCCTGGGCCTCCTGGTGAACAAGGTCTTCCAGGTCTAGAGGGCAGAGAAGGGGCCAAGGTAAGATGTTGGGTGAACTGTCCCAAAGTTGTCCCCAAACCCATGACCCACCTGTTGCCTGAGGGGGCAGGAATCAGCCTGTAGGTGAGGGCCCAAATCAGGGCTGGGAAGAAGCACCCCATCTCTAAGACCAAACTCTCCCTTGTCTTCCTTCAGGGTGAACTAGGACCCCTTGGACCACTGGGGAAAGAGGGGCCACCTGGGACCATGGGTGTTCCTGGCCCTCAAGGAGCCCCTGGAGATCCGGTGAGTGTCTTTGAAGCATCTACTTGAGGGTCTCACTGGAGAGTGAAACAGAGGGAGCTTAAGGATGGATAGGGGCTGGCAAGATGGCTCCATGGGTGGAGTGGCTTGCTGCTAAACCTGATGACCTGAGTTCGATTCCTGGGACCCACTTGGTGGAAGGAGAGAACTGATTCCCACCAGTTGTCCTTGGAATTCCACACATGTGCCTGGCACGCACGCACATGCACACATACACACACACACACACACACACACACACACACACACACACAATAAAAAATAAAGACATGTTAGTAGGAAGGACATGAGGGGACCAGTATGTGGAGCTCAAGGTCTGCTCACAGGTTGGGCTAGGGATGGGGAGTGTCCCCCCAAATGAAGACAAGTCTTCTGGGCCCCCTGGAAGACTTTCTGACTGTGCTCATTTTCTCTCTCAGGGGCCCATTGGTCTGAAGGGTGACAAGGGTCCCCCAGGCCCAGTCGGGGCCAATGTAAGTAGAATTATATTGGCAGGTTGGGGGAGGGCTGGAGGGGGACTGGGTGCCTCACAATAGCTCATGTGGTGTTTGGGGGGCATATGAGATTAGTTTCCTCCTTCAGTAGCTGTGATGGGGGCATCTACAAAGCTGGCTCAGCAGTTAAGAGCACTGGCTGCTCTTGCAGAGAACCCAGGTTTGATTCCCAGCACCCACATGGCAGCCAACAGCCAACTGTAGATCCAGTTCCAGGGGATCCAATGCCCTCTTCTGACCTCCTCCCGCAGTGCATGACACTGGTGTACTTATATACATGCAGGCGTAACACTCATGCACAGAAAATAAAAATACTTTTAAGAAGAATTTTAAAAGATTTAAAAACAAACAAAAACCCTTCAATATGCGTGACCTCTCCTCACACTGACTGTTCCTGACTGCCTGTTTCCAGGGTTCCCCTGGTGAGCGTGGTCCTGTGGGCCCCTCAGGCGGCATTGGGCTCCCTGGCCAGAGTGGAGGGCCAGGCCCTGTTGGTCCCGCAGGAGAGAAGGGTTCCCCGGTAAGTGTCTGTTGTGTGATTTTCCTGGGGAGACATGATAAGGAACAAATGACAGCCCAAAGAAGTTATATTGCAGGGGCTGGAGAGTTTGTTCAGCAGTTAGAGCACTGGCTGCTCCTGCAAAGGACCCGGGTTCAGTTCCCAGCACCCACATGGTGGCTAATGATTACCTGTAACTTCAGTTCCAGAGGATCCAGCACCCTCTTCTGGATTCTGTACACACATGGTGTACTTACATACATGCAGGCAAAACACTCATACACATAAAATAAAAATAGCTAACTAAATAAAAAATTATTTTGTCCAAGTCTAGCTTATCGAAGCTGTGGGTCTGTTGGGGTCACTTACAGAAACACAGATGGCTCAAAGGGCATCACTGAAGAACCCACCCTTGCCTGAGTGATGGCATGATAGCTGTATCCCGGGGACTTTCTGTGCAGCTCCACAGGTGGAAAGTCCTCTCTCCCCAACACTTGTTACTGGTCCTATCACCTTGGGGAAGGACTTTGTGAATCCTGTAAGTCCCAGAAACTTTCTGAGACTTGCGAGTTGTTTGAGCTTTGAGCTCTTTCTTCAATTCAGAGGAAATCTCTACCCAGCAATGTCCTGTCGTGTGACCCCCATTCCTGACATCCTTTTTCCTTCATCTCTCTATCAGGGAGAACGTGGTGCACCTGGTCCCACTGGCAAAGATGGCATTCCAGGGCCCTTGGGGCTTCAAGGACCCCCTGGAGCTGCTGGGCCTTCTGGTGAAGAGGGAGACAAAGTGAGGGGACCGGAGAGAGGGGCAGTCCAGGGAGTAGATGGGATTAGGGGACTGCAGGGCACATTCTCACGAGTCTGTCTTGCAGGGGGAACTGGGGGCCCCTGGCCACAAGGGAAGCAAAGGTGACAAGGGAGATGCGGTGAGTGGGCACCCCCCCCGGCAAAAGGTATGGTTCTGGTGGGAGGGCATGTGGCATAGCCTGGGCTCCCTGCCTCCCTCAACCCCACGTTGGCACCTACATGGAGAAGACTCCCCAACTGCACAGATGTTGGGCCCCACGATCTCAGGAGAATGAGGAAATCCCCTGTAGGGCTGGAGAAATGGCTCAGTAGGTAAAGGGGCTTGCTGCCAAGCCTAATAGTCTGAGTTCAATCCCTGGGACCCACATAGTAGAAGGAGAGAACCAGCACCTGCAAGTTATTTTCTGACCTCCACTCATGCACACATATGCATATGCACAACATTCAAAATGCATAAATGTAATAAAAAAGTTTTAGAGAAAGGCCTCACCTCTCTCCCCCCATGGAGTGTACCCCCAATGGCCCAGAGTCAGAGGCTTCCCCCACTCCAAATTCAAGCTCTAGTTCCAGCACCAACAGATTCCACCGTCCCTGGATCTCTGTGGAACTTCCCAGGGAGAGGTTTTGTTTGAGATAAGAGTCACATGTAGCCCAGGCTAGCCTCAGATTTGCTGAGGGTGACCTTGAATTTTGTTTTGTTTTGTATTTTTGAGACTGGGTCTCCATGTAGCCCCAGCTGACCTGGAACTCACTATGTAGACCAGGCTGGCCTTGAACTCACAGAGATCTGCTTGCCTCTGCCTCCCAAGTGCAGGGACTAAAGGCCTGCGCCACTATGCTCAACTCTGAAAGAATTTCATATTCTGTTTCCTCCCTCAGGGCCCACCTGGACCGCCAGGGATCAGAGGTCCTGCAGGTCATCCGGGCCTTCCGGTGAGTGCTCCTAGCTTGGTGATTGTCCCCTGACCTTGAACCCCATCTCAGCCTATTTTCTTTGCTCACAACCTTGATCTACATCCATCTTAAATCACCTAATTAAGCAAATGCTGGCTTAGTCCTAACCTCTATCCCAAACAGGACTCCCTCCTCCAATGCTGGCCCCAAATAGGAACTTTGATTTGAAATTGAAATCCAACACTATCTTAGTAATTTTCCTACTGTTATCACAAAATCCCTGAGCCTGGATGATTTATAAAGAAGAAAGGCTTGGGTGGCTCATGGTTCTGGAGGCTGAGAAGTCCCTAATTGTAGTGCCAGGATCTGGCCAGGATCTTCATGTTTCATCACAGCATGGTGGACAAGGCAGGCATGCTAACTTAGGTCACTCTTCTCCTTATAAAGCCACTAATACACCATGGGGCCCCACCCTCATGACTGCATTTGATTCTAACCACTTCACAAAACCCCCAACTCCAAATATCCTTAATAAATGAAGTTGTCAGGAAGCGGGAGCTGGGGCTCAGTTGGTAGAGTCTTGCCTAGCATTCATGAGGCCCTGAGTTCCATCCACAGTACCACATAAATGGAGTGCAGTGGTGCACACCTGTCATCCTAGCACTTGGGGGCTGGAGGCAGGAGGATCAGGAGTTTGAGGTCATACTGGACTGTGTAGTGAGTTTGAGGCCAGCCTGGGCTACATGAGATCCTATCTCAAAAACAAACTGCAAGAAAATTCAGAGATTAAGGTTCTAACACATGAACTTTTGAGGGTCCCCAACTATCTGGTCATAATTTCCAAGTATCCCTAAAATCCATCTGAACCCTCCATACGTGCTGCTCATGACCTTGTCCTGAATCCCAAACCTGACTCAGCCTCTGTCATTATCTTAAAACTCCTGCCTGGGCTGGAGACCTGGCTCAGCAGTTAAAAGAGCACTTACTGCTCTTATAGAAGACCCAGGTTCAATTCCCAGCATCCACATGGTGGCTAACAAATGTTCATAACTGCAGTTTCAGGGAATCAAAAGCCCTCTTCTGACTTCTGTGGGCATTGCACAATGTGGGTGCACTTACATACACATAAAATAAAAATAATGCATTATAAAAACAAATACAAAAGAAAAGAAAAAAATGATACATTTAAAAAAAAAACAACTTCTGGGGCTGGAGAGATGGCTCAGCGGCTAAGAACACTTGAGTGTTCTTGCGGAAGACCCAGGTTCAAATCCCAGCACCCACGTGGCAGCTAACAACTGTCTGTAACTCCAGTTCCAGGGGATCCGACAGCATCTTCTGTCCTCCGAAGGCATTGCACGACATGGGTGCACTTACCTACATGCAGGCAATACACGCATACACATAAAATAAAAATAATAAATAAAATATTTTAAAAATTTAAAAATAAAAACAATTTTTGCCTTGGGGCTGGAGAGCTGGCTCAGCAGTTAACAGCACTGGCTGCTCTTGCAGAGGACCTGGGTTTCCTGGCTTCCTAGCACCTACATGGTGCTAACAACCATCTGTAGCTCTAGTTCCAGGAGTACAACACTTGTCTTCTGGCCTCACATGGTGCACTTATATACCTGGAGATAAAATAACCATTCACGACCTGGGCATGGTGGTGCATGCCTTTAATCCCAGCCCTTGGGAGGCAGAGGCAGGCAAATCTCTGTGAGTTTGAGGCCAGCCTGATCTACGTAGGCAGGACAGTAAATTCCAGGCCAGCAGGGCTACATAGTGAGACTCTGTTTCAAAATAAAATAAAACCCCCAAATCTTCTACTTTATACTTCATTCTTGAACTCAGGCCCTCTGCCTAACACAACTGCAATCTCAAGCCTAACCTACTCCAAACTTAATCCCATCCTTTAGCCTCAATCCTAACCTTTGGGCTGGATCTCAACTGTGCCCACCCCATATCTTCCTCGCAGGGTGCTGATGGGGCTCAGGGTCGTAGGGGACCTCCCGGCCTCTTTGGACAGAAAGGAGATGATGGAGTCAGAGGCTTTGTGGGTGTGATTGGCCCCCCAGGCCTACAGGTGAGTGTGAGGGTTTGGGGGTGTGCTGCACTAAATTTCCCTTCTCCCTCCCGCACACACCCTCTGAGGACTCTAGTGTCTCCCCGTCCTGATGCAGATTGGCAAAACCGACATGACACATTCTATTTGGGTTTTGCATAGTTTATGACATCTGGGAGGGGGTGACTTACAACGGCATGAAACACCGCCGTTATCGTGTCTCACCCCCGGTCTCTCCCAGCTTTTTGTGCACTCTGCTAGCCCCCTCGCCCACTCACCTGTTCACAGATCCATTCCCTGTGTTCAATATGGCCATGGCTCCACCCCTTTTCCCAGTGTGCTTGGCGTGGGTCTCTACACCTGCCCCCCCCATCAGTTCTAGCCTTTCTGAGGAACTTCGGGTTACAGGGGTGTCACCTCTAGATCCCCACCCAACACGCCCCCCACGTGGCCCAATCTTTGTGTGTGTGTGTTGCTATCACAAAATCCCTGAGCCTTATTTATAAAGAAGATTTGAGAGTGTGTATGGGTGCATGTGGAGGCCAGAGGTTGACATGTCTTCCTCTATCTCTCTCCACTTTATTTTTATTTATTTACTTGTTTTTATTTTACCCACCCTATTTTTTTACATTTATTTATGCGTGTGTGTGTGTGTGTGTGTGTGTGTGTGTGTGTGTGTGCCCAATTCATGGAGGTCAGAGGACAGCTAGTAGGAATCAGTTCTCTTTTTCTATCATTGGGTCTCAGGGATTGAACTCAGGACATCAGGATTAATGGAAAGTGCCTTTACCCACTGAGCCATCTCACCAACCCTCTCCACCTTATTTTTTTATTTTTGAAACAAGGTCTCCCTATAGCCCCAGTTGGCCTGGAATTTCATATGTAAACAAGGCTGGCCTCTATTTCACAGAGATCTACTTCATGAGTGCTGGAATTAAAGGTGTCTGCCACCAAGCCTGCTGTACCCCAATCTTACCTCTTTGTTTCACAGGGGTTGCCTGGCCCTCCTGGAGAGAAAGGCGAGGTTGGAGATGTAGGATCTATGGTATGGACCCCCCAGGAGAGGTGGGGGATAGAAGGAAGTGGGTCCATCCACGTGCTCACAGAGTACACCATCATCTTAAGGGTCACACACCCCATAAGGGTTATCTGTTGATACTTCGAGCTTTCTGACTGAGTCATGGGTGTCACTGGAGACTGTCTGGTTCTCCCACAGGGTCCACATGGAGCGCCAGGTCCTCGGGGTCCCCCTGGGCCCAGTGGATCAGAGGTGAGGATTCTGGGGTGGGCAGGATGTGTCCAAGATGCTGCTGGGCTTGTGTGGACTCACACCCACCCTTTCTGTCTCTCCAGGGCTCCCCAGGGTTGCCTGGGGGTGTAGGTCAGCTGGGTGCTGTGGGAGAAAAGGTGAGAGGGGGACTCAGGGCTGCCCAGGGTGGAAGCAAGTCCTGTCTCTAATGGCTGTGGCTGTTGTGGGACCCCCCCCTCCCTGTCAGCGGGAGACCTCTTCCTCTTTGCCTCCTGCAGGGAGAGCCAGGGGATGCAGGAGATGCAGGACCCCCAGGGATTCCTGGCACCCCAGTGAGTCTTTTTAAGATTATTTTTATTTTATGTGTATGAGTGTTTTGTCTGCATGTATGTAAGTGTACCACATGCATGCAATGCCTGTGGAGGTCAGAAAAGGGCATTGGATCCCCTGGAACTGGAGTTATGGATGGCTGTTAGCCTAGCCACAATATGGGTGCTGGGGACTAAACCCAGGTGCCCTGCAAGAGCAGCCGCTGCTCACTGAGCCAGCACTCCAGTCCCTACTAATCCTTTTAAAAAAATTATTGCTATTGTGTGTCTGATGAGTATGCATGTGTGTGGAAGTCAGAGGATGACTTGCAGGAGTTGGTTCTCTTCTTCAATTCTGTGGGTCCCAGGGATGGAACTCAGGTTTCTCAGGCTTTGGGAAAGCACCTTTACCAGGGCTGTGCTAATCTTTGATTTCCTAAGGAGACCATGCCACTCTGACCTTTGACTTCTGACCTCTGTCTGCAAAGGGGCCCAAAGGAGAAGTTGGTGAAAAGGGAGACTCAGGCCCTTCTGGGGCTGCTGGACCTCCAGGCAAGAAGGGACCCCCTGGAGAGGACGGATCCAAGGGGAATATGGTGAGTCCTGAGAGATGCAGGGCAAAGACTGGGGCCCCTGGTTATATTCAAGCCTGAGCTCTAACTTAGAGACAGGAGTCTCTTTATTTTTTGTTTCGTTCTTACTATTTTATTTTGGTTTTGAGACAGGGTCTCCCTATAGTCCCAGCTGACCTGGAACTTGCTGTGTAGACCAGGCTGGCTTCCATCTCACAGAGATCTGCCTGACTCTGCCTACTGAGTGTTGGGATTAAAGGCGTGTACCACATACCTGACTTCTTTGTATTTTCTGAGTCACCCAGAAAATGGCTGAATGAATAAATCAATGAATGAATTAATTAAACACAAATACAATTGTGGGGTTGGGGAGATGTCTCAGTTGGTAAAGTTCTTGCCTTGCAAGCAGAAGACCTGAGTTCAATCCCCAGAACCCAGCTAAAAACCTCAGGCATGGTGGCACAAGCTTGTCACCCCAATACTGGGGAGATGTAGACAGGAGGAGCCCTGGGGCCCACTGGTCGGGCAGCCTAGACTATTGGGTGAGTTCCAGGCCAGGGAGAGACCCAGTCTCAAAAATATAAAAAGTCGACAGAACCTGGGAATGACACCTGAGGCTGTCCTCTAGCTTACACCACACACACACACACACACACACACACACACACACACACACGACATACAAAGACAGACACACATACACAATGATTACCTAATATTGTATGTAGCAGAAATTAATTTGCATTGAATTGTTCTAAGTATTTAATCATTCTAAGTATTGGACAGGCCCACATAGGGCCTAACGCTCAGAGTTGTGTGTGTGTGTGTGTGTGTGTGTGTGTGTGTGTGTGTACAGGTTTATGCACATGTAGAAACCAGAAGTCAACTGTCAGGTATGTGTGAGCGTTTTGCCTGCATATACATAAGTGCACCACATGTGTGCAGTGCCCACAGAGGCCTGAAGAGGACATTAGATCCCCTGAACTGGAGTTATGGACAGTTGTTAGCTACCATGTGGGTGCTGAGAACCGAACCCAGGTCCTCTGCAAGAGTAGCCAGTTCTCTTAACCACCGAGCCAACTCTCCAGCCCCAGATTCTGTTTTGCTCCCTGAGGTGTCCCCAGCAACCTGACTAGGGACACTGTCTGCTGAAGTAACGACTCATTCTAAGATATGTCTGGCAACTTTTGTATTCTAGGGTCCCACAGGGCTCCCTGGAGATCTAGGACCCCCTGGAGACCCTGGAGTTCCGGTGGGTATGACCTCTCCTTCCACCCCAGCATGTTGCTCAGCTGTATCCTCATGTCTCCTGAGCTCCCCTCCCAACTGCCTGTCTCCATCCCTACCTCCAAATCTCATCTACCCCATGACCCTCCCAACTGTCTCCCCTTCCCAGGGTATAGATGGTGCCATAGGGGAGAAGGGAGATGCTGGTGATGTTGGAGGACTGGTGAGTTGGGAGGAAGGGAGTGTGGTACTCAGGGAGGCGGGGTGGGGCTGGTGATGGGGGATTTGGGGTTCAGAGAGGTGTACGAGTAGGGTACCCAGAGTTTTGCAAGGGTTCCTGCAGTGTCTCTAGGCCTCCATGCATGTGAATAGCTGGAGGGGGAGGTGGGGTCTAGAGTGATATCTGGGGAGAGGGGGGCTGTCTTCAGCTGTAAGTTTATGCTGGGGCTGTGCTTAACTAAACAGGGACCACCTGGAGCTTCGGGGGAACCTGGTACCCGAGGGCTCCCTGGCAAGAGGGTGAGTAATTAACTCCCAAAGAGTCTACTCCATTCTATGGCCCCTCTCTCCACACAGCCCCCCAGTCTTTAAAAAATATGTATTACATTTATTTGTTTTGTATGTGTGTAAATATTTAGATGTTTGTATGTGTGTGCTGTGTGCATGTACCATAGCACATGTGGAGGTCAGAGGACAACTTGCAGGAGTTGGTTCTCTCCTTCCACAGTGTGGGCCCCCAGGGATCGAACTCAGGTCATCAGCCTTGGCTGCAACCTTCTTTGCCTGCTGATCCATCTAGCTGGACCCCACACCTCACTCTGCAGACAGATCTTCACATTCTTTCTCTCCTCAGGGTCCCCCCGGTCGCATGGGTCCAGAGGGCAGAGAGGGAGAGAAAGGGGCCAAGGTGAGCATCACCCCCTGGGGACAGGTCCCTGTGCCACATGGCTACCCCCCACCAGTGGCTGGACCAGATGAAGGACCATGCTGTCCCCTCTCTGAGATTCCAGCCAGAGGTCAGGCCCCATTGATGGCCTTCTCCAACCCTGTCTATTTCAGGGAGACACAGGTCCTGATGGACCCCCAGGCAGGACAGGTCCCATTGGAGCTCGAGGGCCCCCTGGGCGCGTCGGGCCTGATGGTCTTCCAGGGATTCCCGGCCCTGTGGTGAGTGGGGTGGAAGATGGGGAGGGGATCCTGCCTTGGAACCTCATCATGGTCAGTGGGAACATCCATACTGGGTGCTGGTGGGGAACAAACACCCCTGTTATGTGTCCTCTTTAGGGTGAACCAGGCCCCCTGGGACCCTCTGGGCTTATGGGCCCTCCAGGCCCCCTGGTAAGAGAATTTTCTAACCCTGTGGTCCACGCTAGCATGGGGGCCACCGGGCAGGCACTGGCACGGATCACACAAGTTGGCCCCTCACTGCCATCTACCTGTCCTAAATCCTATTGGGACCCTCATATTCATGATCTACACCTACCCCCCACACTGACCCCCCACACTGACCCCCACACTGACCCTCACACTGACGGTCTACACCGCTCCCCAGTGGCCTTCATCTTCATGGTCTATGTAGACCCTCAAAACCAGCCCACGCTAACCCTGACCCAATCCTGACTTCTATCCTGACCCCATCTTGATGGTCTACCCTGACCTACATATTTTTTAAATTTTTAAAAATTATTTTTAAGCTGGGTGAGGTGGTATACGACTTTAATCCCAGAACTTGGGAGGCAGAGGCAGGAGGATCTCTGTGAGTTCAAGGCCAGCCTGATCTACATAGTGAGTTCCAGGACAGCTGGGGCTACAGGGAGACCCTGTCTCAAAAAGACCAAAAAAAATTATTTTTATATTATGTGTACTGCCTGCATGTGAGTGCACCTGTGTCATGAAATGTCCACAGAGGTCAGAGAGGGCATCGGATTCCCTGGAACTGGAGTTATGGGTGGCTGTTTGCCACCATGTGGGTGCTGGGAATCGAACCTGGGTCCTCTGCAAGAACAGCCAGTGCTCTTAATCACTGAGCCATCTCTCCAGCCCCCCTGACCTTCATCTTGATAGTCTACCCTGACCATCTTGTCTGGTCATTGATCCACTGCCCCATGCCCCTGGTCTTGGTCTTTAGCATTTGAAACCCAGGTGATTCCCCAGTAGCCCTTCCCATCATGCAGTTGGCCCCTGAGCTTTCAGAGGATCACATGCTGACCTTGGTTTTCTCCCAGGGGCCATCTGGCCTCCCAGGGCTGAAGGGTGACGCTGGACTCAAGGGGGAGAAGGTAAGCCTGCCTCGCTCTGTTGTTCCCTACGTCTCCCACCCCTTTCTCCCCTGCCTTGGCCAGAGGCTGGGAGAGTGTGGTATCTTCTGTTCCCCCAAACTCATCCCCCTGAGACTCCAAGAGAAAAATCTCCCAGTGTCTCCCCCCCTCCACATTGTCCCCCTCACATGCCTTTGTCCTCCAGGGCCACATCGGGCTGATAGGTCTTATCGGTCCTCCTGGGGAGGCCGGGGAGAAAGGTGATCGGGGGCTGCCAGGTGTGCAGGGCCCTCCAGGCCCCCAGGGAGACCCTGTGAGTGTTTGTCCTGTGCCCATGGGGAGAAAAATGTTCAAGGGGGGCTGGTTTGGATGGGAGCAGTTTGGGAAACCTAGGTCTGGGATGAGGAAGACTGAGGAGATGGGAGGACTGTAACTGGAGACCAGTGGTTGGGAGGTGATGGGGGAGGCTAGGGGGTCTCTATGTGAGTTAAGAGCTTGTGTACGTCCTGGGCTGTTTTTTGAAGGGTGGAGGGATATCTAGATGGTGTCTGGGCAACAGGGCTGACCCTGATGGCCATTTTCCAGGGTCTCCGTGGTCCCACTGGCTCTTTAGGTCACCCTGGACCCCCAGGTGCAGCTGTAAGTTTGGGGACATTTGTGGGATGGGGGTCACCATGGCCAGTTGGGCCAGGACCCCAGCATCACCTATCTCTGCCCACAGGGCCCTCTGGGACAGAAAGGCTCTAAGGGGTCCCCGGTGAGTAGCAATGCCCCCCTGGACTTCCATGTCCAGCTCCCCACCTGCCCCCTCCCCTCCCCCTCCCAGCCTCCACCTGCCCTCCCTCGTTCCCTCCCTCCCCCATTCCCTCCCTCCCTCCCTCCCTCCCTCCCTTCCTGTCATGGAACCTGCTGTTCCATTCCATCAAATCTAAGATGGCACCCATTGGTGAGAGGCATTTTTATAAACTGCTGTGAAAGACAACAAGTTAGCCAAGCAAATTGCAGCTTGCCAGAGATGCTAAGGAATTGATTTCTTAGATGTGGGAACACTGGAAGGAGACTCACAACTTAGGCTTAGTGCTCAACACAGACAGCCTTTCCCTGGGCCCTATGCATGTGCATGCACGTTGTATATATGGGCACGTGCTGGGAAAACATGCACATGTATGCATGTGTGTATGTGTAAATGTGTGTGCACGTACATATGTATGAATGTGTGGACTGTGTGTGCATGTGTACATATGTATGTCTGTGCATGCATGTGCATATGTACTGTGTGATCATGTGTGTGTGTGCATGTACGTGTGGGTGCATGTGTCTGTGCATGCACATGCTTGTGTTGGTAGGACCAGGTGCCCACAGACAGTTCAAACAAAGTAACTTCTCCTCACAGGGCTCTTTAGGTCCTCGTGGAGATACTGGACCAGCAGGCCCTCCTGGACCCCCAGTGAGTTCCCAGAATCTGGGGGAGGGCAGGGACTGGGTTTGGGGTGCTCCCATTGAGTTCCCCAGAACTCAGCCAAGTGTTCCAGTCTCTGACTGAGGAGGACAGTTCCTTGAATGTCCAAGGAGAAGGGGCTGGGGCTGGGGCTGGATCTGAGTTGGCAGGACACACACCCAGCATGTGAAAAACCCTGGCGTCCATCCCCAGCACTGCATAGACCAGGGGTGAGGTGGAGGCAGAAGGATCAGGAATTCAAGGTTATCCTGGGCTACATAGTGAGTTCGAGGACAGCCTGGACTAGGTTAGACACTGACTTAAAAACAAAAAAACGAACAACAATAAACTTTGGGGGTGGGTGGGGAGGCTGGAGAGCTAGCTCAGCAGTTAAAAGCACTAGCTGCTTTTGCAGAGGACCTAAGTTTGGTTTCCAGCACCCACATGGCAGCTAACAACCATCTGCAACTCCAGTTCCAGAGAATGGGATGCTCTCTTCTGGCTTCCTAGGCATTGCATGACATAGGTGTACTTATATACATGCAGGCAAAACAGTCATACACATAAAATAAAAGTCAAAGAAACTTGCAAGAGTGGCTGGGCTCAGGGGAGGTGACAGAGGGGGTACCTTGGAGGTGCTGGATGGCTCTTACCTCACTGGGTATGTCTACCCCATCCTGTCACTCCCTCCCTGCCTGTCCATCACTTTTCACCCAACTCTGTCTCAACACATATGCCACTGTTTCTCTCCTCTCCCTCTTCCTCCCTCCTTCTGTATCCCTCTGCCTCCCATGTCTGTCTGTCGTGTCTCTCTGCCTCTTTTTCTCTCTTCCATTCCCACCCCCACACGGGCCCAGGGTCCCCCTGCGGAGCTGCATGGCCTGCGCAGGCGCCGCTCAGTGCTAGACGCCCTGGAGGGTGGCCTGGAGGAGGTGGTGGCCTCGCTCAACTCCCTGAGCCTGGAGCTGGAGCAGTTGCAGAAACCCCTAGGCACGGCCGAGCACCCCGGCCTCGTGTGCCGGGAGCTGCATCTCAACCACCCACACCTGCAGGATGGTGAGGCCAGGGTCCTCCCGGGAAGGGCAAAAGGACCCCAGGGACTCATCCTCTGACTCGTGGGGCCTGGCTCTGCGGCAGGGGAATACTGGATTGACCCCAATCAGGGCTGTGCGCTGGATGCCTTCAAGGTTTTCTGCAACTTCACCGCGGGAGGAGAGACTTGTCTCTACCCGGATAAGAAGTTTGAAACCGTGAGTGAAGGAGCTGGTCCTGCCCCCTCCCGGGCCCCTCATCTCCCGCCACCTGTGGGACCTTGTCCTGCCTTCAGTAACACACATACAGCGCCCTATGCCAAGCGCTGCTGTGCAGTACAGGACCCAAAAACCAAGCCTGGAGCTGCACGTGCAGCTCAGCCATAGAGCGCAAGTAGAGCACGCGTGAGGCACTGGAGTCCAGTTCAGCAATGAGCATGCCTGGGTTCCTAGGTTCCATTCAACAGCCCTTGCTGAGTATGCACGGATTCCTAAGGCTGTCCCCGTGTCTCCCCCGCGCCCCAGAGCATTTTCTGAGCATGCGTGGTCCCCTGGGTTCCATTCCCTAGCCTTCTGCCGGGAGCCCCTGAGCATGTTCAAGGCCCTAGGTTCTGTCCCAGTCACCCTGAGGTGGGATTGTGGGGAGAAATGGTAGAATTGAAGGACAAGAGCTCAGTTACCCTGGGAATCTCCGGATGTCACTGTGGTGCAGGTCCCTGGGAGTTGTGTCACGTGGAGGCAAAGGAACTAGGGTGATTATCTACCAGCCTCTCATGGTACCCCTCCGAGGGCACGACCTACCGCATCCGTGGTCAATAGCATCCAGTAAAAAGAGGAAGATGATGGGGCTGGAGCGATGGCTCAGGAGTCAGAGCACTGGCTGTTCTTGTAGAAGACCTGGGTTCAATTTCTCAGCACCCACATGTCAGCTAACAACAGTTGGAAACTCTAGTTCCAGGGAAGCCAATGTCCTCTTCTGACCTCTGTGGGCATTGCACAACACAGGTGCACTTAAACACATGCAAGCAATACACTCATACACATAAATAAAATAATAAATATTTTTAGAAAAAGAAAGAGGGAGATGCTGACATGGGTGGGTGCCCAGAGCACACCTCAGTGACCTCCATCCTCCCTCAGGTGAAATTGGCCTCCTGGTCCAAAGAAAAGCCTGGAGACTGGTATAGTACCTTTCGGAGAGGGAAGAAGGTGGGTGCAAGAGACTGACCTGGAGAGTGGCATTAAAATTGGTGGGAATCCATGTGGGAATTTAGAGGGGAGGGGCAAGGTAAAGAGGACAGGCAGATAGGATACCCACTTATCCACCAGGCCCTGGGCTCTATCCTTAGCACCAAATAAACTAGGTATAGTGATACACACCTGTCATTCCAACACTTGGGAGGTAGATGCAGGAGGATCAGGAGTTCAGGGTCATCCTTGGCTACATAGTGAGTTCCAGGCCAGCCTGGGCTACCTGAGATGTGTAGCGGTGTCAGGTGTGACAGGAGGACAGGGATCTGGGAGGTATCTTCCTCAGCACCAGCAGACAAGGCTGATAGAGGCCCCTCCTGTGCCTTGTCCTACCACAGTTCTCCTATGTGGACGCTGATGGCTCCCCAGTGAACATTGTCCAGCTCAACTTCCTGAAATTGCTGAGTGCCACAGCTCACCAAAGGTTCATATACACCTGCCAGAACTCTGTGGCCTGGCTGGACGAAGCTGTGGGTGATCATGGGCGCTCCATCCGCTTCCTGGGGACCAATAGGGAGGCATTGTCTTTCAACCATACAACACCAGCCACCATCAAGGTTTCCCACGATGGCTGCCGGGTAAAGAATGGGGCCTGGCTAGGGTGGGGAGGTGAAGCATGTGCTTACCCTCTTTATAACGCCCCCCCATACCTTCCCATGACCAGCTCCGGAAGGGACAGGCGAAGACCATCTTTGAACTCAGCTCTTCTCATGCAGGCTTCCTGCCTTTGTGGGATGTAGCCCCCATTGACTTCGGCCAGACGAACCAGAAGTTTGGCTTTGAACTTGGCCCTGTCTGCTTTAGTAGCTGAGAGTTTTGGAAGCGGGAAGGACATTGAGGGGAGCCCCAATTAGGGGTGCTTTTGGTGCTGAGGTTTTGAGACTGTTCTATTTATCAGGAGCCAGGGGTATGCAGGGGGGGGGTGGGAATGGGGAGTTCAGCTCCCCTCTCCAGGTGAGCTCCTTCCCAAATCCCTCCATCCACCCATCCACTGCCTCCTTCCCCACATCCCTCCATCCAGCTATCCACTGCCTCCTCCAGAAACCTATGCAGTGAGCTTCTAACTCAGAGCTGATGAAAGCCTCCCAACTTGTCATTTCCCATCACACTCTTAGGTGCTAACCTTTCCCCATAGTTAAGCACTGGACACCTCCTCACCCTCACCCCTGGCCGGGACCGCTTTCACCCATTCCTAGTCCCACTTGGCGAAGTGGGGTGGGAGTGAGACTCCCTCCCCTGAGCTGTGCCTATCTTCTGCCTCCCCCTTGCTCTGCACTCCCATTATGTCTCCCCACCCCCAGGTCCTCAGGCTCACCTGCCACACCAGATGGTTGCGGGAACCAAGACGGTCGGTATGAATCAGGGTCCTTAGAGGTGCTGCCCTATTTATCAGTGGAGTCTGTATGAACAGGGGAATGGGCCCCCTCTGTGGTCTGTTTAACCTGCTTCCTCTGAAGGAAGACTGGGATATGAGAGATTCCAGAAAGATCTCAGCTCTCCCCCATCCACCAGCCCCCACCCCCAACAACAACCGAAGGCCATAGGGCAAAATTGGCAACTTAAGTCTGAGAATAAACTAAGGAACTGTGCTCCTGTCTGTTTTTCTCCTGGTGGCACATGCCTTTGCTTCCAGCACTCAGGAGGCAGAGGCCGGTGTATCGCTGTGAGACGAGGCCAGCATAATGAGACTTTGTCTCAAAGCAAAAAAACATGGTCTGTGGAGCTGGCTCAGTGGGTAAGAATGCGGCTGCTCTTGAAGAGGACCCTGGTTCAGTTCTCAGCACCCACATGGCAGCTAACAACCATCTGCAATGCCAGTTCCAGGGGATCTGATGCCATTTTCTGGACTCTGGGCATTGCACACACATGGTATACTAACATGCAGGCAAAACAGTCATAAAATAAAATACACAAAATAAATTTAAAATAAATAAAATAAATTCTCAAAATTAAAAAGGAGTGAACTTCAGACCAAGCACACGCCTGTGATCCCAGCACTTAAGAGACCGAGGCAGGAGGATTACGAGCTCGAGGCCAGCCTGGGCTACATCCTATCAGTCACTGTAGGACCCACAGGTAGAATAATCGGGGAAGGAGGCTGAGTGTGACCAGTTTGCAGTCAGTCATTAGGGAACCAGTTGAGATAAGTGAGGATTTGCAGTGAGTCGAATTGAGGGTTCGATATTGGATTGAGGTTTTTAAAAAGAGCTTTGTGGAGTTATAATTTGCGTGCCATATAATTCACTCATTTGGAATACACAATTAAATGGTTTTCGGTAAATTCAAACTTGTACTATCACCACCATTTTAGGATACTTCATCCTATATCTATAACCAGTTATTTATTCCTTCCAATTCCATCCCTAGACAGCCAGTTTTCTGTTTCTATAGATTCACTTCTTCTGGACATTTGTTACAAGTGGAATCAAAGGGCTGGGGGAGGAGCATGTAAAGTTGCTGCCAAGCCTGATGACCAGAGTTTGATCCCTGGGACACACATGGTCAAAGGAGAGAATTAATTCCCCAATACTGCACAGACACAGTATTCTCTCTCTCTGTCTCTCTCTGTCTCTCTGTCTCTCTCTCTCTCTCTCTCTCCCTCCCCCTCTCTCTCTCTCTCTCCCTCCCTCTCTCTCCCTCCCTCTCTCCCCCCCCGAATATCTACAATTTTTAAAAATTGGCCCTGGGTCTGGAGAGATGGCTCAGCGGTTAAGAACACTGAATGCTCTTGCAGAAGACCCGGGTTTGAATCCTAGCACCCACATGGCAGCTAACAACTGTTCATAACTCCAGTTCCAGGGGATCCAACAGCCTCTTCTGTCTTCCGCGGGCATTGCATGACACAGGTGCACTTACCCACATTTTATGCATACACATAAAAATATAAAAATAATAAATAAAATATTTTTAAAAATTGGCCCTGCATAGTAGGGCAGACCTTAATCCTAGCATGCAGGAAGAAGAAGCAGGTGGATCTCTGTGAGTGTGAGGCCAGCCTGGTCTACATAAAGAGTCCCAGGCCAGCCAGGATTACATAGTGAGACCCTATCTCAAAATAAGTAAATAAATAGATGATAGATTGATAGATAAATGGATGGATGTGTAGATAGATGATAGATAGATAGATAGATAGATAGATAGATAGATAGATGATAGATAGATAGATGATAGAGTGCTGGATAGCTTTAGTGTCAACTTGACACACCTGGGTTTAGGGAGTCTCAATTAGGGAATTGCCTTCATTGGTCTGGCCTGTGGCCATGTCCATGGGGCACCTTCTTGATGGCTGAGTGATGTGGGAGGGCCAAGCCCACTGTGGGTGGTGCCACCCCTGGGCAGGTGGGCCTATGTTGCATAAGAAAGCAGGCTGAGCAGGGGCCAGGGGAGCAAGCCAGTAAGCAGCATTCTTCCACGGCCTGTGCTCCAGCTCCTGCTTCCAGGTTCCTGACCTGAGTTCCTACCTTGGGCTCCCTGATGAACTGTGACCTGGGAGATGTAAGACAAATAAACCCTTTCCTCCCCAAGTTGGTATTGGTCAGAGTGTTTTGTCACATCAATGAAGAAACAATCAAGACAGATAGATAGATTGATAGATAGATAGATAGATAGATGATAGATAGAGATAGATAGATAGATAGATAGATAGATAGATAGATAGATAGATAGATAGATGATAAAGAGCTCATAGGTAGAGTGTTATCCCAGAATTTCCCAGTGAGGGACTGGGGATGTGGCTCAGTGATAGAGCACCTACCTAGAATCTCCCAGTGAGTGACTGGGGCCATGGTTCAGAGATAGAGCACATGCTTAGGATCCTAGGAACATGTCTCAGTGATAGAGCATTTGTCTGGCATACACAAGTCTTTGAGTTTCATTCTCAGCACCACAAAGAACTAAAATCAGATAAAGAATTCCTGCTTTGGTGGATTATAATATCTTGTTCAGTGTGTGATGGTTTGAATGACAATGTTCCCCTAGGCTCTAAGTATTTGTATATCATGTCACTGGGGGCAGGCTTTGAGAGTTTTTAAGCCTTGCCAGATTTCCAGTGACCTTCTGCTTCCCATGCCTGCTTGAAGATGTGATCAGCTTTCTGCTCTGGCCACCTCTGTCACCATGCCCCTTCTGCCATTATGGACTCTAATCCCTCTGGAATCATAAGCCAAATAAACTCTTTCTTCTATAAGTTGCCTTGGTTATGGTTTTTTATCACAGCAACAGAAAAGTAACTAATACAGAAGTTGGTACCAGGAGTGGGGTTCTATTGTGAAGAACCTGACCATATGAGTTTTTGGAGGAATGTGGAAGATTTTGGAAGTTTGTGTTAGAAATGCTGCTGAATGCAGTAAGCAGAGCTTAACAGGCCATTCTAGTAGGAGCCTGGAAGAAAGTAGTGCTGAGATAAAAGTAGCTCCAAGGAGAAATCAGAATGTAAGCAGTAACTGAGACATTTTGGCAAAGCATCTGGCTGATGTCTGCCCACACACTCTAAGAGCTTGCCTAAGGCTAAGTTGAAAAGTAATGGACTAATTTTTTTGGTGAGGAAATTTCAAAATACTCTAATGCAGAAATGATGGTGGCTACTAAAGGTGATTATTATGCAAATTTGCTGTGAAAGAGAAAATGGGGCAAAAAGAAATGCAAAATGTACAGTTTGGATTGAAAAAGAACACTAGGAAGATTAGTGTTGGAGCTGAGGCCTGTGCTGATGGAATGGCTTTTTTGGATAAGGAGATTAGAGCCATTAAGAGGAGACCTGTAGATTTCACTTCAACACTGGAAAGAATACCTCAGGGCAAGACCACACCCAGCTAAGCCTCCAACTTGTGAAAGGAAAAAAACCTAAAGAGATTCCTGTTCCTAGAAAACTGTATGGACGAAAGATGCCAATGTGGGTGAAGCAGGCCAGGGTCCATCCCAGGCTAGCAGCTGGACTTGTCAGTGTTGTTAACATGATGCTGACTTTAGAGGTATGAAAGATGCAAGAGTGAAGGGGTCATCAGTTCTTCCTCTCCAGTTTCAGACAGCCACAGAGGCCAGGCAGTGTAGCAGGAACATCCCTGCATAAAGAAGGCTCTGAGAGGTCAAGAGGCTCTTGAGAGGCCCTTGTGTGAAGCTGCGAAGGAGAAGCCTGGTTGGCAGTGGAGACCCCAAGATGCTGGAGATGCTAGAACTGTAAAACATCTACCAAGGAGAGCTACATACAGGGAATGGTACCAGCTCAAGAGAGAGATTTATGTTTTACACAGAAAATCTGGAAGAGTTGAGTCATTTAACCCCTTTGGAAGTAAAGTCCCAGAAGTTGGACATGGAGCTGCAGAATTTGGTGTCTGCCCTGCTGGGTTTCAGTCTTGTTTTGGTCCAGTATTTCTTTGGTATGCCCCTATTCTTTCCTTTTGGAAGGAGAATGTGTATTCAGTCCCGCTGTTTGTTGGAAGTAGGTAATTTGTCTTTTGATTTTACAGGGGTTTACAGTTGTGACATTGCCTTAATTCTCAGACAAGACTTTGGACTCTGGGCTTTTGACTAGTAATTGAGACGGATAAAGACAACAGAGACATTTGTAGATGGATTAAATATGCATTTTGTATTTTATATGGCCATGACACTATGGGGGCCAGGGAGTGGAATGTGGTGGTTTGAATGACAGTGTCCCCCATAGGCTCCAGTTATTTAGACATCACATCACTTGGGGAAGGCTTTGAAGGTTCTTAAGCCTTGCTAAATTTTCAGTTGCTCTCTGCTTCCTGTATCTGCTTGAAGCAACAGAAAAGTAAATAATGCACAGTGTAAATGCTGTGCGAATAGTTATTGTGCTGTATTGGGGTTTTTTGGAGGTTTTTTTGTCTTTTTTGAGACAGGGTCTCCCTGTAGTCCCAGCTGTCCTGGAACTCACTATGTAGACCAGGCTGGTCTTAAACTCACAGAGATCCTCCTGCCTCTGCCTCCCGAGTGCTGGGATTAAAGGCATGCGCCACCACGCCCAGTTTTGTTTATGGAATCACGACCAGAAAATTTTCTGGAACTGGGGATGTTGCTCAGTTGCTTGCGTACCATGCAGGGAAGCCCTGGGTTCATCACCAGCATGGGATAAACTAGGTGTGGTGGCACATGCCTATCATCCCAGCATTTGGAAGGTAGAGGCAGGAGGATCAGAAATTCATAGTAATCCTCAACTACATATTCTGTTTGAGGCCAGCATGGGTTATATGAGACTCTGTTTCAAAGAGCAATAAATAGGGCCAGAGAGATAGCTCAGTGGTTAAGAACACTGACTGCTCTTGCTGAGGTCAGTGGTTAAGAACACTAGCTGCTCTTGCAGAGGACTCGGGTTTGGTTCCCAGCACCAACATGGCAGTTCAGTTCCATCCTTAACTCCAGTTCCAGGGGATCAGATGCCTTGTTCTGGCTTCTGCAGGCATTGCATGAAACAGTGCACTTACAAACATGCAGACAAAGCACTCATAAATGTAAATTTGAAATAAATAGTAAAAAAAATAAGCTGGGGTGATAGCGGAACCAGTAAAGTGCTTGGCTTGCAAGCATGAGGACCTGAGTTCAGTCCCCCAAAGCCCACATGAAAAATAGC